TCTATTGTTATTGCCAATTGTTTTATCTACATTATCGGCAGAGCTTAAAATTCTATCTTGCTGGTCAATTGTTTTTTCATTATGATTGTCCATTATTTGGTGAATAAATTGGCGAACTGGAAGCTCTTCGTGGCCTCGCTTAGCGGGAACGTCCTTCTCCCTTTTATTTATCTATTTAATGGCTTATTTAGATTTATCTAACCTATTTTTTTTTTTTAAAAAAAAAAGTCTTGAATTATATAAGTAATTAGGTAACGAACGGATGTATATATATATATTTTTTTTACTTCAATTTGAAAGCAAGATGATAAATTTTCTAGCGAATTTATACTGGGTTAAATAGATAACAAAGATAACTTTTTTTATGAGCAAATATTATTCTACTTACTATTATTAATATAATTAGGTTTTTATTTAATTGATGTTCTGAATTTGATCCTAATAAAGACTAGAACGATTGGGGAAAACTTTCATGCTTTGTATTAAAAGATTAATTACATAAATAGTTTCAATATAAAGTGCACAAAAAAAAAAAAAAATTTAAAAGATTAAATTAAGATCTCGCGTTTTTACATTTTTACAAATGAAAATTGGACAAGTGAATCAAAAATTAAGTTCTAAAATACTTTAATTTTAATTTTTCATATAAGAAAACCAATACAAATTATACAATTTCTGCCAAATAACAATTCAAATGAAAATACAAAAATCAAAATAAAAATTTAAACATTTTTAATCTGATGTGATAGTACTGTAACTTTGTTCAGAAGTAACTTCATCTTTAGGTAATTCGTAAGTCGAAAAATACTGACCTTCCGGATGCATCGAACAATAAGGGAGAGAAGTTGCCATTGGTATAATGGTATCATTTGTAGTAAGATAAGCAGGAACTTGTGATCTTTCGGTTTGCACATTCTTTACATTATTTGAATTTTCATTAATAGTTTTTGGTACAGTTTTAGATTTTCTCCGCAAGCTCTTGTTACTACCTGGTGGCCTCTATTATATCATTAAAAATGCGTTTCAAAAAAAAATGTAAAAGATTTATATTTCAAGTCCAATTAATTTTGAATAAAATATTTTTATGCTTACTTTTGAGTAATGGTAGACGCCGTTAATGAAACATTGTTCCTCATCAGGGTTTATCATCCAAAGAGATCTCGTTGTGCCTTCATTGGGAACTCTTATAAACGCTGAATATAACGATAGATTATGGCGTATAGAATTCTATATATTGATTTATAAAAAAAAAAATCAAAGGTTATAACAAAGAAATAATAATAATAATAATTATAACTTACTTTCCATCCGATATCACTCATCTTATAATAAGGATAAGTTTTCGATATCCAGGAGTAAATATCAGCTAGTGCAAGCTTTTTCTCTTCTGATGCCATTATGGCTTGACCTATCATAGAAGCATAAGAATAACTTGGTCGTTGAGGCTTTTCTTGTAAAATACCATTCATTTCCGTATTTAGTTCTAACTCGCTTTGAATTAAATACGGATGATAAGGTAAATTTGTCGCTGGTAAAATTGGTACGGGTCTTGTCCTGTAGCCTGACATATTGGCAGGTTTTGTTTTTGGTAATTTAACAACCGGCATTGAATTAACGATTGGTGCAGGACTTTGAAATGGATTTGGTACAGGAATTGGTGCTTGTAATTGAACTGGCATGTTAACTGTTGTGGGTGGTTGACTTTGTAAAGGAATCTTAGCTGGATGTAAAACTGTATTTCTTATATCATTCTTTTAAAGAATTATTATGATGAATTTTATATAAGCAATGAAATATTCATAATTTTTGCTAAATTTAGATTTACCTTTGTATTTTTATAATGATCTTCCCTAAGTTTCAAAATATTTTCCATTGTCATTCCACTTCGAACAATCATATCATAAAGGATTTGATCATTAATAATATTTTTCGAATTCAATTTTTGATCATTCTCCTTATCATTATGATTCTGTACTTTTTTCTTGATTCGTTTATTTTGTTTCATTTGATCTTTGGATGATAATAAAATATCATCCTCATCATCTTTTGAAATTTGTAATGTCATCAAACTCTCCGCAGCTAAACTTTCTTTTACGCTACGTTGTTGTTTCTCGGTAAGTTTTTCCTTCTTTATTCGATATTCAGAATCAAATATGCCAGTTTTATTCGTATATTTGATATTATTAGCTAAGACCTTGTCTTCTATGACATTTTTGTTTCTTTCATTAATTGAAATAGGAAAGATGTTTGTCATATGATCCTATAAAAGGAAACGAATAATTAATTAATAGTCGATCAAATTAGGTTTTAAAAGATCATCGAGTCGAGAGATTCCATCAAAGAAGTGATAAAAAGTTGGTTCATTGTATAACGTGATAAAAGAAGTGAGATTATCGAATGTACAATACCACGGTGATTTTCATTTTAAAATAAATTTTACCTTGGATTTATTCGTAACATCATCATTTTCATCGATACATAATGTCGATTGTATATCATTTTCCAAACACGGAAATTGATTCTCGGAAAATTGATGCTCTTCGGGAAATGTATTATGATGAAATGAATAAGGAATCGTATATAATTTCTTCGATAAATCATCGACATTATTTCTCTTATATATTTCATCCATTGATACAACTGATGATTCTAATAATGATTCATTGATATTGTACGAAAAAATAAGTAAAAAAAAAAAAAAAAAAAAAAAAAAAAATTTTAAGAATATTGAAATACCATTTTGAAATTTAATGTAATTTTCCACGGGTCGATGCTCTTGAAGTATCTCTGGAGATAACCACTGAAAAGTTTGTAGTGTTACTTGCTGCGTAGATAAGCGCGATTCTCTGTAAATTTTGTCTCTCTTATTAGAAGAGGGTTTTTCTCGTAAAACATGATTCTCTGAGCTAAAAAAGGTTCTTTGTCCCGAGCGATAACGACCATTTAACACTTCCTCCATAGTAGGAGTATTTGACAGGTCTATTTGTTGTATGTATTGATGTTGCATATTAAGTTTGGTAAAATATCTATCTCTGTATTTTGCACAGTAAATGTGTAACAGGTGAACAATTGTTAATTCTTGAGCAAGATAATTTTTTTTTTTTTTTAAAAAAAAAAAACTAACGGGTAAAAAGACGCGAAAAGCAAACCAATTTTTTTTTTTTTTTTTTTTTTTTTTTTGGATCAGAGGTTGCATTAACGCGAACGCGACTTTATTCCTATTCTATATAGTATCCTTATGTAAGATACCCCGAATTTATACATTAAAGATTTTTTGTAATACTTTGAGAATTAGATCTGCTTTTCACATTGATTAATAGGTACCAAGAATATTATTAAACAGTTTTACTGATTAAATGTCCGATGATTAATATTATCATTATATAATCTTCTGTCATCACTGAAAGTTAATTATACAATATAATTTCAAAAAAATTTTTACATATAAAGGAAAAAGAAATACAGTGTAGTCAAAAATAACGCACATCAACAGCGTAAATTAATACGACAAAAAAATATGTAAAAAAGAAAGAATAATAATAAGCGTAACCACAAAAAGAATATTATACGTTATATGTTAAAATACGACAAATGAAAAAAAAAAAAACCTATATCTACAACCAAATATTTTTGTTACACATTTACAATTGAAACCAAAATTGGTATAAATAATTAAAATAAAATATGCGGTCATGAATTAATTCTAAATAACCGCATTTCAGTTGATCTAAATAATTTTTTTTGTATGTACTTGTCATGTCCGTGTCACAATTTTAATTCTCCTAAAATCTTCGAACACATGTTTTTGTATTGCCATGGATCACCGGCAACTCTACGAAATTGCAGACCATGCACTCCAAGTAATAATGGAACTTTAACAATAAATATCTCGAACCTAACAACCAAATCCGTAACGTTTGCAGTTGTAGTTGAAGAAGGAACATTACCACTACTATAGCTACCATGTTGGTTACCTCCAAAACCCCCGCCAATTGGGGGTGATAACGAAAGGCGAACTTCTCCATCTGCCGAAAAATGAAGATCTTGACCTTGTGCGTAACTGTCTTTATATGAAGTTGAAGACGACGATGACGCTGCAGAATTACCAGATGAATAACTCCCTCTACGTTCGTGCCGACTAAAATGTGCGTGATGATGATTTGCAATGCCGTATGATACTGCATATTGATCACCCTTTCCTCCATAGTTAGTAACTATGGATTTTAGATCAATGCTTGGTATATGAACACATTCAAAACCTCCTCTGCCTTCTCGCCATTTAACACCAATGCGGTCAAGCACCCTTATTAAATCCTGACGTATCATTGATGGAGGTTTTGTCGAAGTTGTTGCTACACTAAACAAACCTTTAAGATATACTGGTCTAATCCAAGAATCAGCCGTACCTCCAGGTAAAGGAGAGTGTGGAGAGGAAGAAGGAGGAAAATTGAAATCATTATTTGGAATTTGAGAACTTTGTTTTGATAGACTTATGGACATTTGAGCTGTAGTCGAAGCGCTACGATGATGAAATGCTCTACTTGCGTTTGTAGCTCTATCTGATTTTTGTGATTGATCGTTTAATTGTGGTAAAGCACCTACGGGAACTTTGGTATTAGGAGGAGCTCCGGCGTTACTTTGAGTCGTTCGAGTATTACCGACTGAACTTCTTGGACGATGTCGCTTATAATCTACTTCAGAACCAGAAGTTGCCCTAGATAATATAGTGGAAATCCTATGGGAGAAATAGCCGGAACCTTCTCTTTTAGGACCATTTGAAGCTGAGACATGACGTCGATGTTCTCTTGAGGAAGCGGAACTAGTTGAAACCGGTGAACTAGGTGGTGACACAGAATCTCGCGGTGGCCCCACTATTGCTAAACTCAAGCGTCTTATTAGTCCACCACCTGGACTTGTAATACTATTATTTGTTGGTTGTTCACTGCTTTTCCTACCAATAATTAATTCACCACTAGCTTCATCCATAGTTTCTTCGGGAATTCCTCCTTCATCCACCACAGGTGGAACAACAATCATATTTAGCAAATCACTCTCACCACTCGTTCTCGCACGAGGCCTAGTTCCAGAAGGAACTGTTGCACGTCTTATAGGTGTATTTGCATTTGTTACAGGTGGTGCTGTGCCGCGCATATTACCATCGAAGCTAGTTTCACTTGGATGTGAAGGATCAGGTACCAGGATATGAGGAATGTGCAAATTAGTTGTTTCATTGAGCGATGATGATGAGCCAAATTGAGGAAGTCCACCTTGTTGTATTAAATGATCTCTTTCAATTTTTTCTCTGACAAGGTAATAAATTGAGATTAATGGATGAACCGCTTGAGTAGGATCAGCTGTTATGGTTTTATCTTCGTGAATTGAACTACTCGAGCCTGATAATTTTCTACGATAATAATCGAAACTTCCACTCTTCTTTCTACTGTCAGATAAACCACCAAAATACTGTTGAGCCTTTATTGAACCTTGATAAGAATCACTTTTGATTATATTTTCAAGACGTGATTTAATTTCTTGTTCAGTACCAAATTCAAAACCTGTCATGCCACGAATCACTTCAGGATCCAGCGGAAGGGTAAGTGGAGAACGTAATGGTAAGTAATTTTCTGGCGGTCCATCATATCCTTTATTCATCCAAGGGTGACCCATCACTTCGGCAAGAGAGGCTCGATGCATTGGATTGGTAACGAGCATACGTGAAAGGAGGTGCTTACAATCTTGATTAAAGTAATAATTCATCAATATAAACAAAACGCTCTTAATATGGATAACATAAATCAAAAGCTTCCTTACCGCTACTCAACCATCCAGGGTATTCAACAACTCCCCTCTTAATTTTAGCATGCAAAGCAGGCATGCTTTGATCATCGAAAGGTACTTTACCGCATACAAGTACGTAAAGAACAATTCCGAAACTCCATACGTCCACCTCCGGTCCGGTATATAATTTCGCATTTAGTAATTCAGGGGCCGCAAAATACAGTGAGCCACAAAACGTAGAAAGGTGAGATCGCGGTGAATATAAATTCGATAGTCCAAAATCAATTATTTTAATTGAGCCGTTCTTAGAGATGAGAATATTTTCGATTTTCAAATCTATAAAATAAATCACATAAATAACTGATGAAATATAAATGATAATAATAAAGCATTATTTAAATGACAAACCTCGATGCACAATTGAATTTCTATGACAATAATCTAAATATTTAGTATGGAAAAAAAAAGCGAATATATCGGTGTTAGAGAAATTATTGAAGTAAAACTTGCGATATTGGCATAAATTATTTTTCATAAATAAATAAATAATTAAATAAATAATAATAATAATAATAATAATAATAATAAAGGAAAGTAACCACAATTAATACTGCATCAAAATTTTTTTTTTTTTGAAATAGTTTAGCCATAACATAGACTATAAATTCAAACACTCACCCAAAGCACTTGCTATTTGTCTGGCAAATTTTCTTGCATGCTTTTCTTTTAGTTTCCCATGACTGATAATATAATCCAACATTTGGCCACCATTAACATATTCGAAAAACATATAATAATAGTGTGGTAATACCATAACTTCCTTAAGTTGCACTATATAGGGATGATGCAACAAAAGCATTATCGATGCCTCGCGAATTGTGCGAGTTTCCTTGTTATCATCTTTTGAGGAAGAGTCTTTATCTTTCGCATCATGCTTGTCAGATGAAGTTACACGTGGAATGATTTTTACAGCCAACTATAGTTAATCAATAGAAAATATCGATTTAATAAATTAAAGTAAAGACTTGTATGTTGATGAAAATTTCTCTACGTATCACTTCAAAACTTGATTATCTTTTATCCAGTAATTAACATTTCTATAGTTCAAATCCTTTTTTTTTTTTTTTTTTTTTTAATAATCAATTAAATTTGTATGTCAAAATAACAGTTTTATCTTTCAATTGCACATGATAATTAAATTTAATAACAATCACCTTATCACCGGATAATGAATGCACGGCTAATTTGACTTTACCCATACTACCAGCACCTAAGGTTTTTGTTAAAGTATAATTACCCAAAACCTTTTTGGGTTTAACTTTTGCATGATGATTACTTGTATCTGATGCAGTTGTGTTATTCGAAACTGTTTCTCCATTCGGGTCTGAAGTAGTAATGACAGGAGTAGGAGCTTGCTGGTATTGTCGAGGTACTTCCCGAGGTACAGCCGGGATTTTTCTTGAAGACTTTTCCATTTCTTCGTCAGGGGCTGAATACGAGGGTAATTCTGAAGGTTCAGGTGAATCCCTCAATATTGTTGGACCATTCCGTCCTGCTTGAACCTCGTTATTCAATCCATGCGATAAGACATCGTTATCTAGTTTTTCCTTTGCGGGATGGAATTGGCCGTTTTCGTCTGTCGAATAACGAGAGTTACTGTTACTACCGTCCATACTACCAGCAGACTCGTCCGATGCTCCGTGAAAAGTTTCTCCACGAGTACTGTGGCTTTGAGTTTCGTTTACATAAACATTTACTTGACTAGTATCCTCAGTAGGTATTGGAGGTAAATCCTTTTGTAACGGATCTTTATAATAATAATTATCTATTGGCATAGAAACAGCTCTGGGTGTTGCTGCTGTCGGATGTGTCGTTGGCATATGTATTCTCGAAATAAAGGAAAAAAAAAAAAAAAATTTTTTTGTAAAAAAAGCCAAAAAATTTGAAAATAATTATTATTTTGAAGCGCTTTCTTTTTGAGTTTTTCTTCTCGTGATATGCTTGTGGAGATTTAAAGTTTCACAAAATGAAAATAACTGAATTATGCCAGGTCATCACTCTAAGCCTGAGATATTGCCGTGTGACAGATTCAATATTTTTTGAATAAACTTTGTAATTGTTCTGCACTTTATCTTTGCACTAACCAAAACATGTATATTTATTTACAATGTGATTTTGGTTTGCGTTCACTTTTTTTATGCATTACGTTAAAAAAATTTGGTTTTTTAATTAAAAATCTTTCGAACACATAATCCCCATCCTATCTGATATATAAGATCATCATTTTATGAATAAAATCATCCTTTTTGAATCGGAACTAAAAAAAAATAAGTAAAATTGACAATAGATCGCCCCTGTTCAATGATATCTCAGAATTTCCCGCCAAAATAGGGGATTCGCATATATTGCACGTGACTCTTTTGTTTGTTATTTACCACATGCGAAGATTCCTTATTATGAATAACTATAAAAGGTAAGTATTCCAAGTGTGAGCCAGAATTAAGTCAAAGGTTATATTGCATTATAATTTATGATTAATCTGAGTTTTTATAAATTCCGATTTGATATGCTATACATATACCGATATTTTTAAAATTTATTATAATAGTTTATCTTATAGTATTGTAATTTATAATTATCTTTTTAGACTATTAAAAAAATTTAAATTTAAATTTTAATTCTATTAAAATTTTAATATATATTTTTTATATAATAAAAATAAAAAAAATTGATAATTTTAAATAATATTAAAAAATTATAAAATTTAATATTTATATTTTATTTTTTTAAAATTATTATAACATAATATAAATAATAAAAAAAATTTTTAGTTTTTTAACTTTAATCAAAAATTCTTAAAATAATTTTATTTTAATATATTTTTTTAAAAAATCTATATATATATTTTTAAGTTTATTAGGTTAAAATTTTTCTTATTTTTATTTTTAAATTTTTAAAAATAAGATTTTATATTATATATGATGTTATATATTTTTATATTTTATTTTCAATATTTTAAAAAAAAATAAAATTATAAAGTATATAAAATAAAAATTTGAATATTTATCATTTTATAGTGATTTATTTTATTTTAAATCTTTATATTTTCTTTTACAATATATAATAATATTTATAATAGTAAATAGCAATCTTATAAGACTGCTACTTGCTTACATTTTAATATTTCTTACTTACTATTAGATTGTTACTTAATTATCATTAAATTACTATATACTTATGATTATTCTGCTACCAGTTTCAATTTTGTTATTTTGGATTATTTTAGTGACTTATTTTAGGATTGAAGCTGTGATCTAGTTTTTCTTTATTTGATATGTTATTCTTATTCTTATTCTTTTTTTCTTTTTGATTTCTATTTGTTCTTTACTTTGTTTTCTTTTCTTTTTTTTCATTTTCTTATTATATATTTTTTTATATTATCCTTTTTAACCTTCTCTATTTTTTTTAGAATTTGATAATTAATTGTTGATTTTAGAATTATAATTATATTCTATTTTATTATAGCTAATACAAAATTTATAATATTTTCTGTAACTATTATTATTTGTTATAAATATTATATGATTATTTATTAATTTTAGTTTAATTTCACATTGGATTGTATTTTTGCTATCATCCAGAAAATTTTGGGTCGCAGATCTGTAGAGGTCTGCAATTTTATAATTTCTATGCAATTCTTTGATACAATTTGGTAATGATATGTAAATACAGATTATAGTATTTTTTTTAAGAAGTTTCAGTAAGAAATATGCAAAAATGTATATTGGCTAATTTTTTATACTGCATATTTGTGCAGATATGCAAAAATGTATATCAGTTAATTTTTTATACTGTATATTTGTGCAAATATACAAAAATGCATATTGGCTAATATTTTATACTGCATATTTACGCAGATCCATGAAAATGTAATCTTCTGAATAAAACATCTGTGGTAACCTCAAAAATTCAAACAGTCGTAATTTTTCAAATATGAATATACTTCAATCTGCAAAAATTCAATATATCAAATAGGATATGTAAACATAATAAATTTTTAGATAAATTAAAATCTTAACTTTTTAAGGTTTATTTAATTAAACTAAAACTTTGAAATTTTTTTTTAAAAAAAAAGTTTTTCTTTTTTTTTTTTTATACACCAACCGAAGTTTTTATAATAAACTATATTCTAATGATAACTTCGTCAGCCAGTCAAGTTCAATAATATTTTAACTAACAGAATATCTAGTGTCTTTTTATTAGAACATATATTTATTTAGTAAAAAATTATTTTCTTTGTCAAATCTCAGCATGACATATGCTTCTTGACTGATAAAACCAATTGGAATTGCGCTATATTCTTTCATGTAAAATAGTTGCAGACAACCATAAAGCTCAGGTTCTGTTTGATCGATATCAAACTAGCGAATAAGAGCAAATTCGTATGGTTCTTTGAATGACCCTCGAAAGAATTTAAATAGTAACAATACTTAGGAGATATTCTGATATCTATTAAAGAAAAAATTACATTCAAAATTCTTTAAAATTTACTTATTTTTCTATATCACGCGCTCTCATTCGAGTTGTATTAATTTTGATCTTCTGCAGAATTTATCGCCACGTTACTGAACTATTTTTTGCCTTAATACCCTTTAGAAGTTCTTAAAATCTTACCACTTTCCAAATGAACTGATTCATAAATTTTAATATAAAACTCATCACTTTCAGAATTCTATGAAAAAGTATCTAGAAAGATATTCAGAGCTGAAATTATTTGGAATAATTTTTCGATAAAATTTATATGCAGAAGATTTTCTGATTTTTTAAAGTCCTTTATTTTTTGATCGATAGCATCTAGACGTAACTCCCAAAGAATTTTTCTAAACCCTTAGTTTTATATTGAACAACTTTAGGAATTGCTAGAGAAAATTCACTATGTTTTGCCTATAATATTAATATACTAAATTAAAGATTAATTATATTTAATTATTTGGAATATAATAATGTTTGTTCAGATTTATACTAATAGTATTTATTAATTGACGCATCACATTTTTCCTATTAGAAGACTGGTAAGGATTTTTGACATAATACTTGTAAAGAGTCTTATAAGTTTCTGTTGACAGCCCATTTAATGCTCCATATTTGTAAATTACAGGGACTAACAAAATCAGATTAGTTATAAGAATATATTTACAATCGACTAATATACAGTTACCTGTATGATATCGCCAATTGTGCAGTTTAGGAAAACTATATGCTATCAATGATAATGAAGAGAATATTATCTTAAAGTCAGTAGTCTAATCAATAATTAATTTCTGCTAACAGAATTTGTTAATATTTTACTAATTTTAACTAAAAATATAATCAATTACCTCAAATTTTTTTATATCATTTTCTGTATATGATGCTTTTCTACTCATCATATACATTTTACTAAATTTTGAATAAAGTTTATAAAGTTCATTGCATGTTATTTTGTTTCATTTGTCAAAGATATCATCCAAAGCAAAAAGAGCGATTTTTATTATATTTTGATAATCTGACGCGATAGCAATTTTTAAATAACTTAGTTTACTTATTAGCTTGAGATCAGAAAAATAAGGAATATTACGAAAATGATCATCAAAAACTTTCTGTAACTCTGTTCCTCTAACTTCTTTTAGAATATCCTATGTAAATTCTAGTTAGTATTTAAAGAGCCCAAGATCAATGTGATGCATTTGATCAGGAACACAGGCTTCGTAAATATTCAAATTTTGCAAAATTTTATCAAAGTTCAGTTTAATTGATTTAAATATGCAAATATTTTATTAAAAGGTGATATTTACAAAAATTTCCAAAACACGTTTTTAACAGAATGCATAGAAAAGTCTTTTCTTAGCCTCTTCGTATAACTTTCTACATGTTTTTATGATTTCTGAGAGGTATATTATCTAATGTGATACTCATATTATTTAGGTCATTTTGCGAGACTATACAAGTATGACATGACATTTTACTTTGGGCTGACTTGTATGTTGCCGTTATTTCATTTGCTTCAAGTATATCTGAAAGAAAAAATGATATGCGAATTGCAAAACACATAGACTGTTCTTTGACTCTGAAATATAGCCTATTGGATTTCTCTAACAGTGGTCGAAGTATGATATCGAAATATTTATGGAATATTTCACGTTGTAAAATCCTGAATGATTCAGAAGTTTTGATTCCTGAATCCTGTACCTTAGGCAAGAATCCTAAAAGAACTTTGGCTTCTGATAAGTTTTGAAACCAATTCAGAAGGTTCCTAAGTATTAAAAATACTAGATGTCCAGATGTTTTTTCAAGTCCATCAAAGGTCGTTGCATTCGAGTACAAAATAATGGACAACAGGCGATTTAAAGGTGGAAGAGTTTTCTCCATTTTTAGCCACCAGTCACACTCGAATGGTTCTCCAAATATTCTTTCATTATCATCCTTTCTTAGGTTTCCTTTATAAACAAATTTATTAGCTACTTCTGAATGCTATAAAAATGTCTAAATTGCGTAAAAAATTAGTCGATAATAGAGAGTAAAATCAATTCTGTTATAACTTGTAATAACTTTTTTTAAAATCTAGCAAAGGTGAATTGATTTGATTAAGGTAATCTTTGCCATTTTTCATTGAACTTGGCAATGGAGAGATTTTCAAATTGCTATATTTATTGAAAATTTTATTATTTTATTACCAATCTTATTAAAAACATTACCCTCTATTATTAACTCTATAAAATCATGATACACATTATTTGACCACATCACTATATGCTCTGGTCTATTTTTTTCTTTGATGGCATCTAAAGCATCATCAAAAGATGCTTCCTAAAGATCTTTAGAGTCAAAATCATGATCTATGTCCGTTCGTAAGTCTATTTTCATCTCTTTCATATTTTCTTTTATGTTATTTTTGTTTTCTGATTCAATTTGATTTCATGTATAATAATTCTGTGGTTTACTTTTGTGGATTTCATCTACTACATTTACTGTATCAACATGTAATGTAAAGTTTTCTGCAAAAGAAGGCAAAGTTAACTCCAATCGTCTTGTAATCAGCATGTTCCATAAGCTCAAATCATACTCTAGACTTTGTGTTGATTGCTATGATTCTGATGTTTAAGAAAGTGATGCTTTATCATGATACATGATATTAACATGTCATATTAATCTACTTGAAGATGAAAAAACTCTCTTACAAATTTTGCAAAAAAATTTACCCATTAGAGCTAAAATGCATGAAATATTTTTCGATTACAAATTAACAATTTATTGAGAAAAATTCATTATGATGATTTAGATGATATTAAATAATTTTTACTTTAATTGATCTAGCTGATATTTTTAAATAATTTCTAAGTATTTTTATTTTAATTGATCCAAGTGATATTTTTAAATAATTTCAAAGTATTTTTAACTTTAATTGATTATTTTTGAAGTTTTCTATCAAATTTTTCTGATATATTATTTCATATATTGAAGGCATGAAAATCGATAATCTTCAATGATAATTTTTCTTAAATTAATCTTTTCTTCACTTATATATAACGTTAATTTTCAAATAATTTTTATTCAATATGCCAAATAATAAAAAAGGAAAAATAGGTTACATAAAAATGAAGAAATATCCGTAGGAACAGTGTAAATGCGAAAAAAACCTATTACAAATAAATTTTCACAAATGATGACTCATAGCAAAAAATCAAATGAAAAAGAGCAAGCAGGTTTGCATAGAAATTCATGCAAACAAACACCTGCTTTTGAGAAAGATCAAGAAACTTTGTCAACTAACCTATCAATAAATGATGTTAACATAGGAGTGGAGAAAATCAATCAAATTATTAATAAGTGACATAGATATGGGGTGCAAAATCAATTAAACGAGAGTCTGTAGACATGGAACTCAACAATGATTATTTTGATGATACCTTTAGAGACTCTGAAAAAGATTATGATTCAATTTCTACCAAAGTTTCAACAACCTCACGAGGATCTGTGTTATCAATAAGCCTTACAAAAGAAAAATTTGACGTTACTATGGGTCTTTTTAATGTGAAAATTACCTCATTGTATAAACTTTGTAAGTATATTGGCAATAAGCAATAGAAAAACAGTAAAGCCTTAAAAAGACTTATTGCATTCAATGAACTTTTAGAAGAATTTTGGAATGTGAGTAATTTAATATATTCAATAGTACTATTTTGACCTTTAAGATACTTAAAAAATTACTATAATTTTATAGCGCACATACAGAAAAATAGTTAAGAAATTATTACAAAATGTTTTATTTCTTTCTGTCAGCGAATTTAATAATGCATTAGAAAAATTTTTCTTTGAACATACTGCACATTTTATTAAAAATATCAACAGAAACAGTTGAGTTTTTATGTTCAAAGATAAGTTGTTACCAGAAGTAAGTTGAAATCCTAAAACTTTAAAGAACTTCAAAAAATTATAATATTATTTCTTATATTTTTATATTTTAGATTAAAAATAAATGTCATAGCAAATGTAATGATATCGTGGCAAGTATTCGCCATGCATTGTTTATTAACTTTAAAGATAAGTTAGATTACGTAGATAATAACATATCAGCTACTAAGATTGTCAAATAGAAATTGAGCGAAAAAATAAAAAATGCTTACAATGCGCTTTTTTATGATAATGAAAAACTTACAGAAATAGGTTACATGATATCTAAACAGTACAAGAATCAGAAACTTTAAATAACACATTGCGTATACATTATCACTATATGTGATATTCTCTTAAACCTGAAAAGTCGTGGATAAAATATAATGATAAGTCTGTAGTGAAATGAGTGAATGCCTTCTTGGTAACTATATTTACAGTATTTCGTATTCTAAATACTTCGTTTATATTAAAATATATATAACTTTGAAAATATTTATTAAACAGCACACATATGAAAATAATAGCCCCTTATACCAGAAATTATAGAGCAGATAGCCAAAGAGGAAGCTAAAGCTGCTGCTACACAAAAAAATGAACTGAATTGTTATCACAAGCTACAGAAAGTGAAATAATAGCAGAAGATGATAAAGATTATGACAACTTAGTAAGCTACAATTTATTAATAATCGCTATACTTTGATTTGCTTTTTTGTTATAGTAACCAATTAACAAATATCATATATTATTAGATTTCTGGACTTGATCAAAACTTCTAAAATCTTAGAAGTTGCGCTGCGTCAATTATATTAGTTTTTTTTGTCAGATACAATATATTATAAAATGATATAATTATTATTATATAAGCTTTAAAAATCTATTCTATAAAATTCTGTGTATAATTTTAATAACACGAAATTTCAAAGATTAATATTATAAAAACTTGCGTATAACTTTAATAATCTGAAAATTTCAAAGATTTATTCTATAAAATTCTGCGTATAATATTAATATCACAAAATTTTAAAGATTTATCTTATAATATTTTACATATAATTTAATTACCCGAAAACATGCACAGAAACTATAAAATTTTTTCTTCAAAGTTCAATGCTATGTCTTAAGATCTGCGTATGAAAATCAATCTGCAGATCTTTGCAGATCTGCAACTCAAAAATTTTCCCAATGATATGATTTTTATATTAATATCTTTAGCTTTTATTTTTTATTATAAATGCTTAATATTGCATTATTGCTTAAACTTTAATTATAAGAGCTAATTGGTTTTTAGCTATTTATATTACTGAAAAATATCACTCATTATCATGTGTTTTGTTATCTGTAAAATATAAAAAAACTATTGTGTTAAGTAATACAATAATTTAATATAAATTTACTGATCAGATTTCTTAGTGATGTTCTTAGTAATACCTTTGTATGCTTTTTTAAAGTTTCAGAATGCTATATTATCTTTCTTTATATCTGTTACTTTATCATTAAGAGTCACTAAAAATAAATAAAGTTCTAGGAAAAAAAATTGAAATTTTCTATAAGTATTCTTATGGTATATGTATAATAATATATAATATAAAAAAAAAAAATAATAAAAAGTAAAAAAGTCTATTTTTTTTGTAACTTTTGTGATAAAGTGATATCCCTTCTAAAAATTATTAAATAGATCAAAAATTACAAAATAACTATAAATTTTATTACTAAAAGAGCCATTAAGAATTTTTTTATAATAATATGATAATATAGAGATATAAAATAGTTTATTTCTATAAAATGTTTTATTTCTATAAATAAATTTATAGGACACTTATAAGAATAATTTCAATATTATTTTTAAACTTTTTAGTTTAATTTATTGAGTTTTTTATTATTTGTCTTTATGAATCTCTATGAAATATAAAAGTTTTAGAAAAAAATTTAATATTTATATAGTATTCTTATAAGTAAATATAGTCATATATATGGTTGATATAGTTAGTATATAATTGATATATAGTATAAAAAAAGTAGAGTTTAGAAATTTATAGGACTTATAGAAACATAGGAACAAGTAGTAAAAATATCTTCTCAGAATTTTAAAATCATCAAAGAAGATACTTCTAGTATCTTTGTTAAGTTTTTTTATGTTTTTATAAATAATTTCATAGGAACATAGGGTTAAATTTTTTGATGGTCATAAGATCAAATTTTTGATAAGTCCTTAAAACCAACTTATAGTATTAGATATTTTTATTTTATCAAGAGCCTCTCTTAATGCATCTAATGTCTATTTATTCTAAAATATCTTATTCAACTTCTTCTAGTAATAATATATTTTTGAATATTACTTATTTATATGTATGTTACAAAATTCATATTTTGATATTATTAGTTAGAGTTCTAGACGAGTCGAGTTAACTCACAAGTCAGATAAGCCAAGTCAAGTTCAAATAAAGTTAAGTTTATGTTTTTTGACTCGATGATTTGCGAGTCAAAAAAACATAAACTTAATTTGATTTGAACTCGACTTGGCTTATCTGATTCGTGAGTTAACTTGACTCGTCCAGAACTCTAATTTCTACCATTATTCTTTTCACTAAGAACTGTATTATTTTATTATAATTATTATTTTCTTATAGTTCTTTTATATAATTATCTCTTATTAGTATTTTATAAAATTAGATCATATCAGATTTAAATAAAATCTAATATTTATGAATTTAATCTAAATCTAATAAAATTTGATTAAATTCAGATTTTAATTTAAAACTGATAAATTAAATCTTAAATCTTAATCTAATAGATTAGTTTATATTTAAATCATATTTAATCTAAATTTAAATAAAAAATAATATTTTAATTATGAATTATTTAAAAAGAATAATAATAAATCATTCAAAAAAAATAATAATATATTATTATTTAAGAAGAATAATAGTAAATAATTAATTTAGATCTAAATTTAAATTATGATCTAATAAATCAAATATAATTTTAGTCAAATCTAATCTAAATCAGATTTATCAAATTTGAATTAAATTCAGATTATTTTAAATTTATATGAAATATTATCTCTTATATAATTATTTTAATTTTTATCATATTATTTTTCATTTGATCTTTTTAAATATAAAAAATTATTTTATAATTACAATTTATTTTCTAACTACTATCATTTAAATTTTAATTTAATAAATAATAAATATATAATAAATATCTTTATATAATTACTAATTAATCAATATAATTTTTTCAAATTTATATAATTATATAATTATTAATTATTTTATACTATTAAAACTTTAATATTATATAATAATAAATTATAATTTATTTAATTTAAATAATGATAAATTTTATATAGTTAAATTAAATAATATTTTGATTTTAAACTTTATAATAAAAATATATAAATATTAAACAATTTAATATTAAAATACTATTTTATTATAATACTATTTTAAAATTTATTAAATATCAATTTAATAATAAATAAATTTTCTTTTTTATATTTTTTGAAATAATTTTTAAAATAATTTTTTTTGTTATAATATTATAAATAAAAAAATATAATTCTATTAGTTGTAAAATAAAAAAAATATTTTAGTTATAATATTAAGTAATTAGTTATTATCAAATTATGATAAAATTAAAATAGATAATTTATAGTTCTTTTAAATAATCAAACATTTTATAATTTTTATTAATATATTATTTTATTTTTAGAGTTTAATAAAGCTACACAATTTGAATTACTTAAAATATAACTAATAATATTTTTTTTAAGCAATATAAATATTATAAAAAAAGAGTTTAAATCATTGAAAATTAAAAATAAAATAAAGTGTACTAATAATTGAGTATATAAATTTAAATAATAGAATAGATTTATAAAGTTAATTTTTCAGGTAAAATAATTAATATACTATTAAATACATTATTTAAGAAATGTTCACAATTGTAAACTTCTAATAAATTATATTTATAATACAAATAAAAATTGATTTATTTTTTAAATAAAACTAAATCAAATATTAAGTATAAATAAATTTTCTAATTATAAAAGATAAAGTATAATTTTTAAAAAATATATTATTTTTAAAATTAAAATCAATTATTTTTTAATTTAGAATAAACTTTCTTTTTTTAATAATTAGAAAATTAATTTAATTTATGTTATTTTAAAAGTTTTAATAAATTAATATATTTTATAATTTATTAGATTAACTTAAAAGTTTAGATATGAATAAATTTTTATAAATGATTTTATTATTCTAATAATTAGTTTCAGATAATAAATAAAAAAATTTATTTTTAATTAATAATGCAGATCTTATTTTAACCTAAAAATATTTAATAAAAATAATAATATTATTAAAAATTTAAGTAAAAAAAATATTATTAAATTATCTTATTTTTCAAGTAAAAAAAAAAAGCATAAAATACTAAAAATAAAGCAAATAAAATAAATAAAAAAAAAAGATTTGACATTAAATTTACTAATATTAAACTTATTTATTTTTACCTAATATAATAGTTTATTTTATATAAATAATAATTTGATAAAGAAATAGATTAGAAAGTTTATGATTTTTAATTTTTCAA